TAAGTAAAGACACAGTTAATATATGGACTATCTATACATTACAACAATAGAAGGTGAGTCTATGATCTTATATGGGAAAGGAAGATGATCTTGTAGCTCAGGAGACGACACAGGATGTTTTATTAGCAGTTTTTCATAGTCAACAGCACATAGATGAGAAACTCTTTGTAGTTGAAAGCTACCTGCTGCTTTAGATAAGAGCTCCTAGCTAAGGTAGTTAATCTTTTTCGGGACCCCTCAGGTTTGTTCACCCTGTCAGTCAGTCACCAGTCAGGCTTTTCCTTTCTTAAAAACAAAACAAAACAAAACAAAAAAAAACATGGGTTTTTGTTTTATTTGCTGAGTCTGTCAATTAGTGAGTTCTTCTGTTTTATCTCTGGGTGAATGTGCTGACTTTGCCTAGCAGAGCTAACTTTGGCCTGTAGCTTTAAAAAGGGGTATTTACATAAAATTAGTTTTAAACTAACTTAGTTTTCATATGCTACTGATGCTACTTTGGCTTATACTAATTTGACCTAACATATGTTAATTTTGACTTAGACAGACAAGTGGGGGAGTCTCAAACTTCCTGCCCTCTCCTTAGGGAACCACATTCTTACAGGATCAGTAATTGGCTTTATTATAATGGTTGGGGGTTATATTTTACCCTTGCAAGGTACCGTAATAACAGTAAAACTCACGGTAGAGAAATTAACTATAGGCCAGTAAAATGACACAAGGAGAGTTAGTAAACCGCTGGTCTTGTCTTGCCGTTTCTTCCCAGCCCAGGCCATGGGAGACAGCCTCTTTACCAGCTTGTGTTGTCTGCATGGCCCTGCCATCGAGGTGAAGGTCTGGGGGAGGTGAGATTGAGGGAGGTAAGGGTATGTGTGCCTGTGGGTGGGATTTGTTCAGGACGCAACCTGTGTTAGATCATGATTCTGAAAACCTCCCACTAACAGCTTTTGTTACCACTGTCCCTTCAAAGGTAGAGTCAAAGTCCTTGTAGCTGTGCGTGACACAGTTCCCGGTGATGGCCCTGACCACCGCGTGGCAGGTCACATTTTGCAGTGCAGGGCTAGACTGTGGGGCATGAGTACCACGTTGCTGCTTTGGGAACACTTCTCCCTCAGTGTTTTAACCCTTGGGTGAACGGTCTGCTTGACTGAGGCTTTCGCAATGTCTGGTGGTAGGTGGTGAGCCAGCTGCTGGCACTATGCTCCTAGAAAGAGAGAGACCAAGCAGGTGGTAGATGATGAGCCAGCTGCAGTCATTATGCTCCTGGGAAGAGAGAGACCAAACAAGTGGTAGGTGATGAGCCAGCTGCAGTCATTATGCTCCTGGGAAGAGAGAGACAAAAGGAGTTGGAGGTGATGAGCCAGCTGCAGGCATTATGCTCCTAGGAAGAGAGACCAAGGCAGCTGGCAGCTCCTGGCCATTCCAGAGCCCTGCTGTCCCAGGGCTGGCCACCATCTGACCACAGGAGGGTCTCCAACCTAGGACCTGCTGTCTGGGCTATTCCTGACTTGTAGGAACCATAGGAAATAATACAATACTCAAACAAGATTGCTTGGAGCACCACATTTGGAGTGATTTTCAGTATGTGTGCTGGTAAAGCAAGCCCAGTAGTGATTTTTATACAGTATCAGATAACTAGAAAAGGGATTTTTCTTAGAAACTTCATCCATGAATGACACACATACTTTTATTTTTAGTTTTGTTTATTCATTTTCTAATATCTTATTAAATTTCATCTCCAAATATATTTTTATATTTTATTTATTTTGAGGGTGAGAGATGGGGAGAGTGAGAAGAAAGGAACCAAGGGGAAAAATAGAGAAGCAAGACATCTGAGGGACTCAGAAGCGGAGTACTGTCTGCTGATGGTAACACGTATACCTTCAACTGGATGGGTGTGGAGTGTGTTCATGCTGAGTAAACTCATTTTACAAGCTTTGCGACATACAGTAATAGAATGTATAAAATATATTTTTATACTTAATCCATATGTATCATACGGCATACCAAATGATTTTTTTCCATCATGAATACACTGTAGATTGGTCAATCAAAGATATTACCGTACACATTATCATTAACAGATAATTTTCAATTTTCATGTCCCTTAAATGTAATGCTTCTTTCTTTTTTTTCCTTGATTCCCTTTCACCCTTTCCCATATCTCACCGTCCTCCCACACTGTCTCCAGTATCCACTGTTGCTATCCATGTTTTTTTTAATTAAATGTTTATTTATTTATTTAATTCCATTTATTATTTTTTAATTTGACCAGAGAGAGAGAGAGACAGAGAGAGAGAAAAAAGGAAAGTGAGAGTAAAGGCAAGCTACCAGGTCCAGGACTGGAACCATAGTTGGCCAAGTGGGAATCCAGCGCCTCAACCACCAAACCACCTGCCAGCCCTAAATTTATCTACATTTAAATAATAGAGAAATGTAGAACAAAACTTTTTTTTTTTGAGAGGTTTTTGCTATAGGGCATGTGCACTCGCCAGACAGACAGAGAGAGACAGAGAGATAGAAAGTGAGAAATCACCCCCCAGAGGGGATGGCCATGCCGCAATCCCTTCTCCTCCATTTTCCTCTTGGGATCTTGGGCATGCATGCACACGTGCCCGGCGTGAGTTTAAGCCGCTGGGTCCGGGACTTGAACCACGGTTGACTACATGGGAGTCCAGCAACATAGCCATTACGCTAATTGCTGGTCCGTAGAACAAAACTTTTAACATAAAACATTTCTAAAGATAATATTTGAAATTTTTTTAAATTTATTTTAATTTTATTTCTTTTTATTTCAGTTTCTTTTGTACATTCAATCACATGTTGCTTAGCTTAAAAAGTGAATATTCCAACATGTGTACATTTCTCACCAGTCCAGTTGATAATAGTATAAGACTGATTTGTGCAGTGGACATCTTTAACTTGAAAAATACATATAATTATGATTTTCTTTTTTCTAATACTAGATCTTTTATACAAAGGCATTTTCAAGTTATCCAAAAAGGTCAAACAGGAAAGGATTTGATATATGATATATTATTAATAACTTTATTAAATTCACATCAGTTGCCTAATAATCTCTATCAATTATCTCAACTTCACTAAAAATATGAGTATCACTCGATAGCTTAGGCTGCGAGTCCACAGTTTTCTATAAATTTCCTGAATAAAACATTCTCTTTGTGATTTTCGTGATGACACGTTTTATTTGTTCATTTCTCAGACTGTAGATAATGGGGTTGAAGAGAGGAGGGACCATGGAGTAAAACACAGAGAAGACCAGATCTTGGGTGGCTGCAGATGCAGCCGACAGCCACAGGTACATGTAAAAGCCCAGTCCCAGGAAGACAGACACCACCAGGATATGGGGAACACACATGGAAAAGGCCTTCTTTCTGTCTGTGCCACGTGGAAACTTGAACACAGTGGAAAAGATGTGGACGTAAGATCTTATGATGAAAATGAAGCAGCCACCACCAATTCCCAGACCAGAAACAACAATGATGACCTCGTTGCTGGAAGTGTCAGAGCAGGAGAGCTTCAGCAGAGAGGGGATGTCGCAGAAGAACTGATGGATGTCACGGGACGGACCGAAGGGCAGCCGGAAGGTGTGGCCGGTGTGCACACCTGCATACATGAGGCCACTGATCAGGGAGGCCAGTGTCATGTGCAGGCAGATCTGCGAGCTCATGATCACAGGGTAGACGAGGGGTCTGCAGATGGCCACATAACGGTCATGGGCCATGGCAGTGAGGAACAGGAGCTCCATGCAGATGAAGAAAACCACCAGAGAGACCTGAGCTGTGCATCCTGTCTTGGAGATGGAGCTGTTGTTGAGCAGGAAGCTGATACAGGAGTTAGGGATGGTCACGGAGATGTAGCAGGCATCCAGGATGGACAGGGTCTGGAGGAAGAAGTACATGGGGGTGTGGAGGCTCTGGTCAATGGTGGTGACCGCAACGATGAGAAGGTTCCCCACCAGAGTAATCCAGTACATCAGAGAGAAGGACAGGACCTGCAAAACCCGCAGCTCCCACACGTCCGAAAACCCCCCGAGGAGAAACCCCGACATTGTGGTGGAATTGGGCATCTGTGGGTCCTGCAGCACACACCTGTGAAGAATGGAGAGACTGTGTGTCCATGAAGGACCATATCATGGAAA